AATATTATTATTTTATGTTGTAAATATTTTTATTTTTCATTTATAATTGTGTTTGTTTTTACCTTATTTCCTTATCTCGATGTGTTATTCGAATATTTCAAGAACCTGAATTTGTAGAATGGTCGTGGAAAGTATCACTTGATCGAAGTGGTACAATCTGATACGACGTTCAAACGAAATGAGACTTGAAATAAATATAGTTTATGTTACTAATTAAATCTTTGGCTATTCAATGTGTTTTTATATAGCAATTTAATTTCACGCAAATGTTAATTGTAATTTTATATTCGATTCGTATTTTTTATAACCGAGTAGGAATATTCTTTACGAATGAGAAATAGTCGAGTTAGCTTTCCTGATGGAGGATTGCTAATTTTGAGATTTCTTTCACTAATTAATTAATTCGAAGCAGATCAATAAATGAATCATATTTTAATTTCATATTTGATTTATAAGTTGTACCATCTATGACAACGTGTAAGCGATTCTGTACTATTTTTTGGGCGTTGTGGGGGTGATTATCATTCTCCACGCATAACCGACTCCCGAACCTGTTTTAATCGAATCTTTGGCAAACACATACCAAATTTTTTCTTAAAACGATTTTTGTTAAAATTGTTTTAAAATACGCTTTTAGGTATTCGACCTATGTAACCCAAAGGTCGATGGCAACTCCTTTCAGTTTTATATAAATCAATTCAAAACCGACCAATCTTCCAAATTAAAGTCATAAATGTTTTTTAAAATAATATTTAATTTTTTAACCTAAAAAATGGTTATGATAGACGTCATACATTCTTCCCTCAACTGTCTCAATTACTTTTGCATTGATGTGTTTTAATGGCCTTTCAATCTAATTTAGTTCCCTTTGTTTTAAATGCTCCAACTAACCCACCTCACTCTCCTCCCCTTTCGGCCCTCCATCTTCCTTGTTACCCTTTCAAATCTGTAATCACGAATAAAACTAAAACCAAATTTTCTAAATTTACTGATAATTAATTTTTTTATTTAAGATAAATTTAAAATGTTAATATTATTATTTATGGTAATATTAAGTAACGTTTTTTTTGTTTAACTATATATATATATATATATATATATAATCTATTGATAATAATAATTCAAAGATCTCTATCTCATTATGGATTGGTCAGGTTGTTTGTGATTCATTCATGCAAGCTATTAAACTTTGGTAGATGAATATATTAATTAGGACCCCATTCCTCTATTCAATTGCAACATAGGTTGTTTGTGAAGATTTAAAATTGCACCATATTGGGAGAACTAAACCAATTGGACTCCACCAGCCTTACTAGTAGGGACAGGTATCTGTTGGGTACGAGGGGTTGTGATCCCTCAAATTTTTTTTGATAAAATAATATTTTAGATTTGTCCTAAAGATGTTATGGCAAAGGTCCATGTTCCTGATGGTGGTTTGAGTTTGCTGATATGATGTATCGTTGTGGCTTCTTTATTGGCTATTGAGCTGTGTAGTTTGACCGATCAGCTTAGTGGTGTTGGTTGCTGCAGTAGGCTTGGTGATCTGTGTTCTTAATTTTCATTATGGTATGGGGTGGTTTTCGTTGCTTTTGGACGTGCTATACTCAGAGTATTGCTAGTTCCATATTTCTTTTGTGCATCAGGTTTGATTGTTTGGTGAGATGCAGCCTCTTGGCCGCTTTTTATAGCTTAGTGGCGCTGGTTGCTGCGGTTAGCTTGGTGACTTTTATTTTTAATGTTCATGATGCATGTTTCTCTTATGCATCAGGTAGATTTTTTGTTGTGAGGCAACCTTGTGGCCGCTTGATCGTCTCATTGTTTGGGAGTTATTTTTTGTTTGGTTTTGAATTACTTATCCGACAATTCATAGTGTACTCTTTTTCCTCCATTTAAGTGTAGGGAGATTTTTTTAATGAGGCTCATGTTTGTCCCATTTTGTATGTATTTTCACCTAATACCATACAAAATCCTTTAAAAAATGAAGAGTTTACAATGCATGTCGTATACTGCAATGTACTACTAAAACGATGTACCGAAACACACTACAAATAAATTTGTTCTTATTGTGTAAATATTAAAAAAAATATAAGTATTTATTTAAAAGTAACCATTAATTAAAATTTAATTTTACTTTTAATAGAATTATAATTAATTTATAATTCTTTTATTAAAAATCATAATTAATTTAAGTAATTTAACTTTTTTAGAATTAAGATTTGTAAAGAGACTTTAACTAGCTGAAAAATTCGTTGGAAAATTCTCTGAAAAATATTATATTACAAATCCAATGACGTCGTTTGCCATCGCCCAATTCATCGTCACCCACAACTGGTTGTCGCCCATGAAAGCCCTGCATAAAGGTTGACCGGCGCCCGTCTGTGTTTCCTTTGATTTGCACAAAGAAGGTGAGTTTTAATTTTGATGGTAAAATTACATTCCAACCCCTTCTGTTTGTGTCTTATTTAGAATGGTTAAATTCATGAAAAACCCACACAATTTCTCCTATTTATATTTTAGACAGACATGTTTTTGTTTTAATAGACGTGGATAAATTACAATATCACATACTTTTTTTTTGGATAATTTTTTAAACATAATCCCAACACCCAAAGCCCACATAGGCCTGCAGCCCCAATATCACATACTTTTGTTTTAATTTAAATGGCCAAAATTCATGTAAACCCTCTCATTTTCCCATGTCTAGATTTTACTCTTCTAAGTTTTAAATCTTCTATAATTTGTCCTTTATTTTTATTTTAATAATTAACTTTGAATTTAATCTTTGATTTTAATTAACAATTAATTCTTTATTTTATTCGTTATTTTTATTAGTATTAATTTCATATCATTTTATATTATTTTTTATCCTTAATCTTAACAATTTGATATTTAATTTTACTTGATATTAATTGTGATTATTTGAAACATAATAATAAGAATTTTGATACGTAAATTTTAATTTTGATCATTACTTTTAATTTTGATGCTTAATTTTAACATGATATCCATTTTTATCATTGGTTTTGATTTAATATTAATTTTGATACGTAAGTTTGACCTTGGATCTTATAACTATTTGAACTAGTTAATGAATCACAATTTGACTCCTTTAAAACAATAAATAAAATAGAGTGTAAGCGACATCTCGATATGAATTCAGAAAATATTAATGTTAAGGTACATTCATTGTGATTGTATATTTAGTGTTGCGGTTAAAATGTTAAACTCCTTATCATGAAAGAAAATTTAATTTTTATTTATTAATTATAACAAGTTTTTTTATACTTTATATATGGTTTATGTAACAATAATAATTGAGAAATTTATTGTAAATCTACGAATAAACCCACAAAAGCAATAAATAAAAGTTCAAATTTATTAAATCAATATGAATGATCAATATTAATAACAAGTCAAACTTACGTATCAAAATTAATATTAAATCAAAAGCAATGATAAAAATGAATATCAAGTTAAAATTAAGCATCAAAATTAAAGTTCATAACCACTATTAACATTTACGGATCAAAATTAATATTATCATGATTCAAATAATCACAATTAATATCAAGTAAAACTAATTATCAAATTGTTAAGATTAACGATAACAAATGATATAAAATTAATGCCAATAAAAATAATGAATGAAATAAAAGTATTAATTATTAATTAAAATCAAAGAGTAAATTCAAAATTAATCATCAAAATAAAAATAAAGTACGAATTATATAAGATTTGAAACTTAGAAGTGTAAAATCTAAACAGGGAAAGTGAGAGAGTTTACATGCAATTTGACCATTTAAATTAAAGCAAAAGTATGAGGAATTGTATTTTTGCCATGTCTATTAAAACAAAAGGGTGAGTGTAAATTTCCCCTAAATTGTTTTAAAAGGCTGAATCCTTTTAAATGAAGGCTGGGAAACAATCACAAAAGAAGCAGAAACTCTTCCATATCTTCTTCCTCACCATTCTCTTTGTCTTCTTCTTTCTCTTTTTTTCTCTTTTTCTTTAGTTAGTAGAAAGCTTAAAGGTAGGAGCTTTCTTGTTCTCTAGTTCTAGTTCAATTCCCTCAAGTTAAGAAAGTTAAATTCCACATCTAGAGCTTCAATTCAAGCTCCTTTTCTCATGATTTGGTCATGGTGACCAAGGTTGAGGTTTTAAAGGTGTTTTAGAATCTAGGGCTCTTGGGTGCTCCAAATCCGTCCCAAAGAGTTTAGAATCACGTTTTTACTTCCATTAAGACTTCAAATGAATTAGTAATCATTTTGTTTGCTTTTGATTAGTGATGGAAGTTGGTGAAAGATCACAAGTGAAGAACAAGGAGAAGATGAACTTTGGTTGAACTTGAGGTCATTTTGCAACCCTTAGGTGAAAGGTAACATATGTCTAACCTTTCTCTACTGCTTGTATATCATTATGTATAGTTTGATGCATATTTGAGCGTATGAGCATTTTTTGCAATTGGGTAGGGGTTTAAAGCATGAAAACGAGATTTGTTGTTATTTATGCTTAAAGTGATGACCTTTTATGTTCCTCACCTATTAAATAAATCTTAAACACCAAGAGGGGACGTTCGGGGTACCTTGGGAATGTTTTGGAAGTGTCTTCACAAGAGAAAATTTAGTTTCAGGGTCGAGGTACTGATACTGTAAGAACAATATCGATAATATTGTAGGTTAAAATTTGAATGAATGTGAGGAGGGTATCGATACTCAACAGAGGGTATCGATACTCAACAGAGAGTATCGATACTGTTTGTGTGGTATAGATACTTAGGGGCGAGTATCGATACTCGGGATTCTATTTTAGATTCTAGAATGCTATTTTAGTACCAATACTCAGGGGTATCAATATCAAGGGGTAGTAGCGATACTCCTCACAAGGGTATTGATATTAGAGTATTTTATGAAACAATGAATGCAATTATGGTATCGATACTAAAGGGAGTATCGATAGGTGAGTACCGATAATCTCCACAGGGGATTTGCAGCACTTGCTGGTTTATTGAGAAAGTGCAACGAATCCCAATTTCCATGATTGATTATTGAGACAATAGCCTCCATCGATGGGCAAGTTAACACCACTCACATATTTAGCCTCGTCGCTAACCAAATACATTGCTGCATTTGCGAAATCCTCAGGCTCCAATACAGTGCCTTTCAACACCGCTGAAGCCGCAATCATCTCCTCTCCCTTCTTCTTATCGAGTAGCCCCAGTGTTTTCTGGAACAATGTGATCGCAATTGCGTGAGGTGAAATGCAGTTCACTCTGATTCCATGCTCGCTTAATTCGACGCTCAAGCTCTTGGTCAACCCTGTGACAGCATGCTTCGATGCCTTGTAGGCATGGAGGTTGCCGTAGTTGATTTTGGAAGAATGACTCGATGTGCAGAGAATGCAGCCTTTCTTGGCAGGAACCATGACCCTAGCAGCATGCTTGGCACCCAAGAAACCACACAACATATTGATGTCGAACACTCTCTTGAAGGTCTCAGTGCTGGTGTCTGTCACTCTTACTTCATTGTCACCAATAATCCCTGCGTTGTTGAACATGATGTCCAGCTTTCCGTACTTGGAAACCACCAAGTTCACGACATTTTCGACATCAGATTCACATGTGACATCGCAGTGGTCATAAGAGATGTTTTCGGGTCCGAGGTCTTGGCAAAGGGAGTGGCCCAAATCGTCTTGAATATCAGCAATGAGAACCTTGGCTCCATGTTTGACGAACAGCCTGGTTGTACACTCCCCTAACCCACTGGCTCCACCAGTTATCAGTGCCACCTTACCATATAGCCTGTACCCAACAAAGAACAAATAATGTTTAGATACTATAAGATTCGGACCAGAATTGAACATAAAATTTTATTTTAGAAATCGAATTTATAAAAATAAGTTCATCTGGCTCCACATTTTTTGTCGCCTTTAATATAGAAAACTATATTTATTTCTTTTATTTCTAGACATATCTAAATTATTTAAATTCATATTTTATCTATAAAATAAAAAAAAATCAAGTTTAAATTCACATCTTATTATATATTAAAGTAATAATATTAAACAAATAATATCAAATAAATTAAAATTCAGTTTATACCTGCAATAAAAAACCTTAACCATTTATCAATTTACTTATAAATTTATTCTTTTAACATTGATAGCTATTATTAATTTTATAATTGCGATTATAGGTTACGTGCACTATATATTCTATTATTTTCCTTTATTAAATCTCAAAGTTGAACTTTAGGTTGTCTATTCATGTATTCAATTAACATTTTAAACATATTTCAGTAGTTGCACGGGGCTGCTATATTTGTATTTGCTGAAAGATATTGCATTCATGCAGGTATTCAAAAGGGGTTGCGTTGCTTCGTAAATTAGTAACCACTTGATGTGACACATTCGCTGGTTGGATGCTTGCACCTAAAATTAAGTTATCCTATCGGTCAATAAACTATAGAGACAATTTTATTTTGACCATTCAACTATGGGTTTTATTAATTAAATTATTAAAATGATTTCAATTAAGTCATTCATCATTAATTGTTAATGAATTTATTAATATAGAAATTGAATAAATTTGTATAGGATAAATCACTAATTTGATAACTAAACATTTATGTGATTCATATTTTACTCACCGTACTTTTAAAATTTTTAATTTGCTCACTCAACTATATACATTGAACTTTTTTTGTCATTCTGCAGTTATATCACTAATAGCTCATTAACATTGCTTAGTTTAATATTGAAACTCAACCACATAATAATAATAATAATAATGTTATATTCCATCCATCTTCTTCTAAATGTAATTAAATTTTGGGTAAACTACAGAGTTGGTCATTTTTGTTTTATTTTTTAACCCTATGGTCACTCGATCTAGAAACATCAATACATGGTCACTTTTTTTGAATTTTAATTAAGACGTGGACATTAAGATGTTAGTTGCCGTGAGTTTGATGATGTTAGTTGCCGTGAGTTGGATGATGTGACACATTAGTAAAAAGGTTTAATTTTTATTTTAACACTTAAACTTGAGATAAATTACTAATTATAGGTCTTTTTGTAAACCCAAAATAGTTCAGGGATAAAATATCAATTTACTATTTCTTTCCATATGTTTATCAACAAACCTGAAACCTCCACGATTCACCCCTTCCACGACGGGGACGGGGATGTTCACACCGGTTGGGTTTGGCTCGCAAAACGTCGGGGAGCACATGGATGGTGTGAGGCCTAACGGTGACTGTATCGAACGAAATTTGTTGATAACAGTGTGGTGGTTTTGAGTTCTCCGACAGAACTTCGACGAGCTTTCCATGTCGAACGGTAGTGGCTCACGGGACACTCTCAACGGGGCTTTGATTGCTGTGATCTGGCGCTCACGATGACATCGGCGGTGACAGTCACTGGCGACTGATCGATGACGAGGAATCAATGGAATGTTGATGGGTTAAAATGGAATTTGGGGTTTGATTTTAGGGATTTTCCATTTTTGATTTGGGAATAATACATATAGGAAAAGAGGGTTAATTGATTTTTTATCCTGCATTATTTTGGATTTATAAAAAGACCCATAACTAGTAATTTATCTCAAGTTTAAGGGTTAAAATAAAAATTAACCTTTTTACTAACATGTCACATCATTCAACTCACGGCAACTAACGCTGAGTGACCAAGTCTTAATTAAAATGAAACAAAAGTGAAAATGTATTGACGTTTCTGGATCTAGTGACCATAGGTTTAAAAAATGAAACAAAAGGGACCAACTTTATAGTTTACCCTTAAAGTTTTTAAAACTTCCTACCACCCACTCCGATTCCTTCCCTAACTAGTTCAGCAGATCCACCCAAAAACAAATAATTTGAAAAGTTATGTCGAAATCGGTGCTTTACTTTCTTCCCCTCCTGGTGACGTCGCTGCTGGTGGAATCAAGCGACGACACGAACCGCGCCTACTTGTCTTGCTCGGACACGAGAGTCCAAGTATAGGATGGGTTCACTTTTGGGACCGCTTTCGCACCAAGGACATCGTTCTTCTTCAACAGAATGTTTCAGTTGTCGCCTTGCGATCGCCGGCTCTCGCATTCGAGCTCCGGATCTTGTCTGGCACTCTTTAGACCTAGAGTTGATGAGATCTCTCTCCTCACCATCAACATATCATCTTTTTCTCCGGTCAACTCTCTCTATTATTCTATCTTTTTCTAAGATAATTTCTTTATTTTTTTATTTTGAAATTTCAGGGATGATGGAATCCGAGTATTCATGGTTATAATTAATGTAATTTGTGAGTTTAATTCTGTTGGAAATATGGGCTGCAAAAACTCACCGTTAGCACTGACAGGAAAAGTAAATAATAATTTGAAAATAAATAGATTCGTAAACCGTGTCGTGGTAAAACCACTGCCTTAGAAACGAATTCGTTTCGATGTGTGTAATCGTTGCAGTAGGCAGACCATCTCTCGAGGTTAACATGGTCGTTCCAAATTTCGTATACCGAAAATCGAAGTGGACTGCTGGTGGTATTGCACTTCTGATCGGAAAGCACAGAGAATAACTTTAGAAACACTTGGAGAATGAATTTTGAATGTAGAGAGTGAGTTGAGAAACTGAATGCAGGTCTCTTTTTATAGGCTAGATATAAGGTTAAAATCGTCCATAAAAAATCATAATAAAAACTCTTCATTGTAACAGCTAAAACGTCCAGATAAACCTGATTAAAAATAGTCTAGGTTCATTGCATCATTATTCAATTGTTACAACTCTTGAAATTAAATTATGTAACTCTTGTAACTCCTAACATTAGCAACTTGCCTCCTTTGTACGAAGTTGGAAATCAGTTCAGATACATCTTAGATTTAACTTAGAAAATCAGTCAAAAATCATTACACCGTGTGTTTTGTCTTTCCATCTAAAAATTGCCAAAGTTAAATTATCGAGTTTCACCTCCCCCGGGGTCTTCATATATGTAATTCAAGGTAAGTGGTAATAAATACTAATAGCACCAAAAGTATTGTATGTTCTGGGAGAATACAAGCAGTAGTATTTTACATCCCAGGACAATTCAAAAACCTTTAGTTTACATTGTACCAGAATACAAGCACAACTGGTATTTTACATTCTTAGGAATGCAAAAGTTAGTATTTTTCAGGGCCGGAGAACAGAAGCAATGGTGGTATTTTACATCTTAGGAGAAGAGAACAAAAGGGAACTTTGCATAATTACTCATTCATCTCACCTGGTTAAAGCTTTGTCTCTCTCCTCTTTAGTTTTGTTTTGCAAAAATCTCAAGAAATGTATGGCTGTGGGTTCTCTCTCTTGCATTGAAGTTGGTTCCAAAGTCAATCCCAAGTTCAAGTCTAGACTGGGTGTTTCAATATTATAGCTCCGTATATCTTGAGTATTGCTGTGGAAAGTTGGTGTTCGCTTCTTGTCTATGCTGGAGCTAGTTACAGCAGTCGAACCCCTTGTCACATTTGGTTCCAGGGTCAATTCTAAACTCAAACTCAGTCTTGGCCTTTTTGTCATGTATCCTGTTGTATCTTGGGAAATGCTATCGGTGGTTGTTATCTGCTCCTCCTCGATCCTGGACGTTTTAGTTGTAGTGGTTTGACCTAGTTCATGGTTTACGACATCTGCGGAATGATCCTCAAAAGGATAGAAGATAGTTGGTGATTCACTGGAATTGTTGTGGCTGGTTGAATCCTTGTTTCCATCAAGGTTTTGGTCCATAAAAGGAGACCAATGAGCTTCATAAGGAATGGAACATTTCTTCACTTTAATTCTATGCAGCGTCGAACCTGTTTCATCTTGCTCTATGTAGATGATCACTCTGTCACCCACACAAAGCTCCTTGCTTCGAGCAAATAGAATCCATTCTTTGATGAGAACATGCTTAGGATGTTTTGGCCGATCCGGGTTATCACCGATATTACGAATAGAGAAGCAAAGACTCCAACGGCATCCACTCTCATCTTTGACATCAAAATCCACCCGAGGATTGACTTCTAAACTTGGCCTTGGCCTCGGGAAACCTTCCATTTTATAGTACTTCATCGGAACTGCACATCTCCTGCAAATATCCATCTCGCTGAGCGTCTTCGAGAATATTATCATTTCTAAAGAGCTATCATAGAATTCACTGTAAGGCTGCTTCTTAATTAGAAAGAACCCGAAATTGATAACGGAGTTCAGCCAATTATGCCTACGTTTCCAGAATGTTGCAGATCTTTTACTAAGAGAGAAAATTTACAGGTGTTTACAAAACACTCACTACTCACAAGAAAGCTCTCTAGTATTGGGAGAAAGAAATGATTTGGGATGATTTTGAATAAGATAATCTAACAATGCTTTATGTTGTGGCTTTGACCTTTATATTGCTCACAAAACTTTGGTTGATCTTCCTCTCTTCGAGGATCATCCATATCAGTATGAATTAGAGTATATTTAAATCGACCTTTCAACTTCCTACGTAATTCTAGATTTCATAACCATTCTTCAAAAATTGGGTATTTATGCTAATAAGCATCGTTTGAGATATACTTAAACTCACAATTGTATATGTTACACATAGTATGTAAGGTAGTCATCAACATAAGAGTATATGCTAATATTAATGTGCACACATGTAACAACAATGTAAGTGTATGAGAATCTTAAAGCTTGAAATTGACCATAATCACATTGTCTTCTATTAAGACAACTAGTATAGATTCGGGTAGATTCAGGTTGACCCTTCAACTTTTTATGTAATTCCGAATTTGATAATAATTATTTAGAAATAAGGTTTGTAGGATAATAAGCATCGTTTGAGAGATACTTAAACTCACAACTATATACGTTACACATAGTGTG